AAAAACACAAAAATCTAAGAATACAGAAGGACATCATGCATGTTTAGTAAATGTCTAGAACAATTGTAAGTTTTTTCATAGACCCTAATTAAAGCAAGTCTAGTATGATCAGGGTCTACAAAATTACTCCTTTGACACTGTTCTAAAACAACTAAATTTACACACATGGAGGCCTCCCACACAAGCATCTGGACTAATACAGTAATGCTCTGTTTCACCTATATGTGTGCCAAGGTTATTAACTGCAGTGTTTTTACACGATGATGCAGGGAATCTATGTTACCAGAGTGACGCCAGGGGGGCCGGCAGAAGTGGCTGGGCTGATGGTCGGGGATAAAATAATGCAGGTGGGTCTTGATCGGAATCTTCGAGAGGGTGAAACGGGTGATCCCACGTGTCCGAACGATAGGCCCGTTTGCGCTGCCATTTCGGGGTCACATTCATCAGTAGCATCTCGTCTGGCTCAAGAAAAAAAAAAGTTGTGAAAACGCTACTGGAGCGGATCAGGTGTTCCTCTTGGGGAGGAGGTACGGATCAGGGTCAGGTGCTGCCGATGCATTTGACTTGATCCTGGCAGCATAAACACTTGCAGGGATCAGCGCCGGAGGTGCAGTGTCAGTGACGTCTATGGCTCTGGTCTGCGGGTCTGGGCTGCAGCAACAGAGGAAGAGTAAGACGTTCCAGTGCTTTATTGGCTTCTTGAGAGAACCAGTATGCAGCTCATCTGTGCTGCACTCTTCAGGCACTACAGGCTTGTCTTGCTGCATGCAAGCCCCCCAGGAAGACTCCGAGTTGATCCAGTCAGAGTGGAGCAGTATTATCGATGTGATGTGATGCAGAGCTTTTGACTCAAAGTGGAAAGTTTCCGTTCAGGAGATACGGACCAAACCTCCACTTATAATGAGGTTATAAGGACTTATAAGGATAGGATTGACAGCATTTGGTTTTAACAAACCCGAGGAGTACCTCATTCGTAGAAAGAAGCTGGATGCACTGTATTTGTTTTAATGGTAGGATTCCTCCTTCATCGTTTGTGGGGAAGCAAAGCCTCTTTGAGTTTAAAAAATAACACAAGTTAGTCATAAATTAAGTACTGCGTCTTGTTGTTTTCTACATTTTTACTGTCTCAAGATGGGCTTATTTTTTAAATTGTTCTCTGTGCTTTTATACTACATTTAATAAACTGCATCTGTCCGATTTAATTTGTAGCCAAGGCAGAGAAGGCAGTATTGGTGGGCATGGGATTTTTTCTTAGCTTTCTTTAGTGGCTTTGTAGCTGTTGTCAATTATTTAATGCTTGTGTTCATTTCTCCATAATAGCCGCCGTCTGAGTTGCGTAGGGGCAGTGCTTATTATTTCATTGGAATTCCAAGGTTGACAAAGCAGTGAAAAGATCTGATAATAGCTCTCTGTGGGCTTCTCATCTGAAAGATCGGTGTCCACAGTGTCGTCTTTTCTCTGATTTCTTCTGATCCTTGGATCCTATGAAGATTCATTTTCATTTAGCTGTTCACTTTTAGCTCTTTTGTCTAGGAATGGTTTTGCCTTTGAGCCTTTTGTCAGCTGTCTGTAAGCTGTTCTTGTGCTTTATACTGTAGCTATGGCCTCTCATCTGTGGCCTGTAAAACATTCTGCAGGATGCCTAAAACCATTAAGAGAATATGTTGGTTATTCTTTACATGTTGTAAAAGTCATTGGATAAAGCCAATTACTCATTATAGTTATTTGTAACAATTTCCTTTCACAGGATCTCAAAGGGCTTAGTGATGAGTAGGACCAAGACTGACCTAATATATATTTCACGCATGTTGCAGTTTTACCGATTTTTCTTTGTCACCAGTTATAGATTTAATCTGAGCAATATGGTCAGCTCCCTGGACACCTTACCCATATCCCATGTCCCGGTATACTATGAATCTTATGCCTCCGTCCCATCCAGGTGAATGGCTGGGATATGACCATGGTGACCCATGACCAGGCACGGAAGAGGCTCACGAAGAAGAACGAAGATATTGTGAGACTTCTGGTGACGAGGAAGTCCCTGGAAGAGGCAGTCCGGCATTCAATGATGTAGTAACGCATAAGACAAGGGCTCTTGATGAGGAATCCGTAGTTTTAATCCACAGCGGGGCTGCTGATCTTGCAGAGCTCATTTCCGACACTTGGGAGGTGTGTATTTCCAGAGTTTTCACCCCCAGCAACCTGCTAGCAGGTTAGATATACTACCTGTCTGGATTTTTCACAGATTGTACAGGGAAAATCCTTTCTGGAATGTGAGGGCCAGCTTCGATTGAATTGTTTTATTCAGGTGGACCTTACCTGTTTGTTATTTATCTCTACTTTACAGAATTTGTGCATGTGTCGTAACCTTTACAATACAGGCACATTTGGAAGTAATATATAAAAAATGCAAATCTGATTCGAGGGAGAAAATGTTGGAGTGTGATTATTTCAAAGGAAGTCAAGTGTTATAAAATGCATTGCATTTTAGCAAATAAAATGTATGAACATAATTACAGCCTGTTTAAACTATAAACCACAAGAAGAAAGCCGGTCTAGAGCTTGTACTGAATCTCTGAATTTACCGTCATGTTTTGTGGCAACTTCAGTTTTCTTAGTAAGGTAGTAAGCATGTGGATTAATTCTAATGGATTCCTTTAATTTAATTGTGCCAAAAACAATAAGGTATATAGTGCTTTAAAGTACATGTTCTGGGAAAATATGAAAACATTATGAGTATATTTTGATTCATTTTTTTAAGTTTAAATGATACCAAAGTAATGTGCACAGCCTAAATTATGTTTGATATATTTTTTAAAAAACAGCCTTAAAATGCTAAATGGTGGGCCATTTGAGAGGGTAGGGGCACAGGGTTAGCCTGATGTTCTGGGCTTTGTCCCAAATTTTGGGTTTATAGGATTAAAGCAGTTGAGGATCTGAATATCTCGGCCCTTAAACATTACATTAATTCTCCTTTTACAGCATCTTTGATTTTCAGTTCCTGTATGCTTTGCCAGCTCAAAGCCAGCTGATTTTAAATTACAATGGATTAGAATTAAACTAAACTCCCAGCTGTAGCTGCTGCCATCATGACTGCTTTCCAAACTCTTAATTCACAATGCTGATAATGAGTACTTTATTTCCAATTATTTGAAGAAAAGTTTAAGATTTTCCCATTAGTACAAGCACAATTGAGCGGGTTAGTACATTATAGATAGATATACTGCTTATATGGGACAGAAATGTTTTTTGGGAGCCTTCAGACCCCATGTTTTGGAACCACTACATTCGATAACTGTTCAAGTGCCTTTTGTGTCAGCTTGTGTAAGATCAGAGAAGCTGAGCATTCATGGAGATATTAAGTGAGAGCTCTAAAGTAACATGATTGTTTTTCCTTTGTAGTTTTACACTGGAATAGCTTTGCTCAAGGCTAACAATTTGTCCCCCTGTAAATACTATGGGGAAAAAAATGAATTCACATAAACCGTAAAATAAACTTTTGGAATCATATAATCCCACAGCTCCATAAAAGAATAACAGTGAAAGATGTGATCCTTAAAAGGGACAATATAAAGGTAACATTTTCAATTCAGATTTCTCTATCCGTCCTGTAATGGCTCATCAATGGTGGGGTTAACTACACCTTTGTACCATCAAATTGACCACAGTGCCTCAAAAAGGGTAAAAGAAAATGTAAACTATGTGCCTGGTTTACTGTGATTTTAAAACACTTAGTGCAGAGGTTTTCCATCGGCTTTTGATCTTGATGGGGAAACCAAACCATTTAAGTTTCTTGTTTCAAGCATCTTGTTTCATTGCTACTACAATATCAGAAAGCAATATCTGCAGTTATTACCTCCACCCTATGGAACAGACCTGAAAGAAGAAACTAGTTTTGCTAATAATCAGTGGATTCAACACAGAATACATTTTTTTACTTGGTCATATTTGTTTTTAGTCCTATAGTAAACATTTTCATCAATCACTGCCATAATTGTAAACCTTGGATTCTAATAATCATAGATGCAGTCTCTTCTTATTGTTTGGTGCTTTTTAATCTATGTTTGTTATTGTGGATCCACTATACACTCCTATGCAAGATCGTTCCAATAGGGTTTAGCTAAACCCTAAAACGTCTTAGTATACACACTACATTCCTTTAACACAATGCATTTCTAATTTAACACTTTTTTAAAGACCTAGAAAGGCTGTTTAAACACTACACTGTAAAAATCTTCTTTTGTAAAAGTCTGCTCGGTATTCATACTGTTATGTCTCTGTATTCTTTTCATTTCATTCCTAAAATGCTAATGTATGATTACGCAGACCCCAAAGAGCATTAGTCTTGCACTGTATTTACTTTACAATTAGATAGTCCAAGACAAGTACTAATGAAAATCTTTGCAGCCAGTTCCAGTAGTACAGACCTGTGGTAGGACTGTTCTGGATAACAACCTGCTGCAGTTACCCTCCTACTAGCAAGTGTGTGTGCTGCTGTATGTAATAGTTTCTGAAGATATCTTGTCTTGCATTATTAAATGATTATGAGGTACAATACACTTGTAACTGCTGTTTTTCTTGCCAAAATACTCTACAAATAATCATTGAGAAACACGTTTTTCAAAATGCATGGCAAGTAGCTGGCAGAGGAAAGTAGCGGATTCTGTTGCGGAAAATATACGTTTAATTGAGGAAAAAAATTGTAAAAAGCTGCAATTGTTTTATTTGCAAGTTGTGACAGGTAAAATATATGAATTGTCTATGCAAATTGTATCAAACATTAAAAAAAATACACAAGTTGCAAAAGAACAGTAGATTAATTTAGGAGTAGTATAAAAGCTACACTTTTAGATTCCAAAAAACAGTACATAAATGCATTCTACCATTAAATGAAATATCAACCTTTAGTTATTTTTTAAAGAATTTTTAACCAGTGGAAAAAAAAAATCCCATTACAATCTCAAACGATCACAAACTCCTGAAGCAATTATTTCTTACAAAAGCTGCTTCTGAATAGACATACTTGTATAAATACAAGCTCATGTCCAAGAAAGCTTTTTAAAACCAGACGTGAGTTTATGGAGGTATTTGGTGTATTGCATAATTTAAAAGTATCTGAATGAAGTCATTACTGAATGTTGTAAGCACCTGAAAACATATGTGCAACAAAAGCAATTACACAAATCTTATGGTAACATATACCCAAAAATTTAGTAATTAATCCTTTTGCCTGGGTATTACTCAAAAAAGAGTAAAATACAATCAGGTGTGGTATATTGTACCTATCTATAAAATGTGGTAACAAACTTATATTAAGTACTTCATACTTTTACTATACACCTGCAAAATAAATTACAAAAATATTTATCTCCATTATTAAAATTTGACTCGATTTCTCTTAAAGCTGTATATGTGGAACCAGTTGTGGCAAGACTAAATCTTTTAAAAATTCTGCTAAATGTGTTACTATGCTAGTCAAGTATAAATTGGACAATATACAAAAATGATCTAAAAAAAATATATGTACTAGTGACCATCAGTGAACTATTGAAGAAAGAAAGTAAAATCAAATGTAATACTCAACTACTCACCTAGCTTAAAAATGACCATTATGAGAAGGTGTGACCTATAACAGCAAAAACAAATCTGCCTCTCATGCTGTATCCAGAAGTGATTGACTGGTTGCTGTCCATCACAGTTTCAATTAGTGTAACAACCTGAACATTGAACCTGGTGTTAAAAAGACTTAAAAGGCCTAAATACTTATAAGGAATGTGGGCACAATTCAGTCCAGTATTCCTAGCTTTTTTTCTTTAGTGTTACACTAAAGACCAGACATGGTTGCTTTGAAAGACTGGGTCAATTAAAAGGAATCATTTGAAGGAAATTAAAATGAAACCGTGGTGCTGAAAAAACAAAGGATGAAAACAGCATTTATGCATTTATAGAAGACATTTTCCAAATAATTCTGGGAACAGTGCTGAAATGTTGCTCACTGTGGGAAGTGTTAGAGGAGAAAGAGAAATGGACACCAATATTATCCCTTTTTGGATTAAGGTTCAAGTTTGACACTGCTCTAAAGCAGTATATCAAAAGAGGAAGAGGTACCCACAAGTCTATTCCAGAACCTCATACTCTACGGATTTATGACGATACAAGCAGTAGTGCTGAACCATGAACAAGATATCAAATAAAATGGAAAATAACCCCAGACCAAACTTTGTAGGGTCTCCAAAAATCAGCTTCCACTCATCTAGAAATAAAAAAAAAGATCAAACTTGAGAAACACAAAATAATATTTCTGCACATTTCCTGATCCAGCAAAAATTATATTATTTTTTAAAAATTCCAGACATTACATATCTGCACACTCTAGTCCATAGGGCAGAGCAACCACCAACTGCTTCACTAACACCCACTTACAGCAGCAACCTGGTTTTCCTTGGAGGTCTCCCATCCCCATACTGACCAGGACCAGCCTGGTCTTGCTTGTAAAAGCTGGCAAGATCAGGCTTGAAGGAGGTCACGCTGGCATTATATTACAGGGGAACACAAAGGATGGGCTGGAGTATACACTTTTGGCTGGATCATGGGATATAGCTCATGCTTAACAAAACAGCTGCTCTCGCAGGCTTACCGTTATTATAGGACTGTAAGAACATCTGCAGAAGACTGAAAGCCCCGCCTGTGAAGTCCAGCAGCACGTTTCCTATGCTCCAGCCCTCGGTGCTTTTCCTCTGGTAGTTCATGAAAGCCTGGACAACACAGGAACTCACTCTCAATCCAAACAGGAATTACAAGAGATTGAGGAAAACCCCCCAGACAGCCCTCTCTTTCCTGCACCACAGAAGACTCACAATCCTAAGGCTTGTGCCTTGCCATAGTACAATAAGCTTCACTGAGCTATTGTCGTGTGAGAAAATGATTTACAGTGTTGAGAAAAAAAATGTCTGGAAATAAATTCAGAGTTTTGGGCAAGACGAAGAAAGAAAAGCATTAAAAAGACAGAGACAGAAGGACTGGTGAATCCTACCTGCGGAATGTATTTGACCAGTGTGACACCCAGCTTGATGTAGGAAAAGTAGTAGAGGTATTCCAGCCAGGTGATCTTGTGGGCTACGGCAATGAAGAAGGTGAAGATGGCAAAAGTCCAAGCAATCACCAGCAAGCCGATGGCCACCTTGGACACTCTCTGGCCTCCTCTCTGCACCACAGACACAGAACGACAATTTAGTGGCCTGGCTTACTTTGAGACATTGTTTTTGTTTTGTTGTTTTTTTTGGGGTGATTTTTCATTTTATACCCCAATAATTTGTAATCACCAGTGGTTCCTGGCTCACATCAAACCCTGTATTGAGTGGAGTAGCAGCGCATCTGTCAGTGACATTGCTACAGGTTTGTAGGCACCCAGGAAGTTGCAGTGGTCACTGTTTAGACAGAGAATCTTTGGCAATTTATTCCCAATCCCCCCTTGTCAGTATTCTCTCAACTGCACTGCACCGTTTAGGGAATTCTGGGAACAGATGGCCATGTTGCGAGGTCAAATTTGTGACACTGGGGTTAACCTAAACCCCAGCGAGTCCTGCAGGACCCCCCCCACGGGTGGTGTTATTTATAGCAGGGGCAGAGGACCTCAGCACTTCCATTACATGACTTCACTACCATTAATAATTAATTAACCTATCGATCCTTCTCATCAGGGGCACAGAACTATGAAGAAGATGGAAAATGGAAGACACACTGGATTGGAAGACTGGAAGTGTCCTGATCTTCCATCCAGAAATATACACATTCACAAGAAAGAATCCTGATAAGCCTTACACTTCAGAATATCAAATCATGGTTTTAAAAGCATTCTGCTTAGGTCTCCTATTGCCCAGATACCATATTTATTTATTTTACTTCATGCCCCATGGAATACTGTTCCCCCAAAAGAGATGGTCATTTGCAAGGAGACTTCTGATTGAAATGACTTATTGCTGTCGCAGGGCACTCAGTACGTACCTCATAAATAACGCACTGACATATATACACGAGCGTCAGCACAAAGGCATGAACACTGAAGAAAACATCATTGGCATCCACTGGGTTCACCCCATCAGGATTTTTTTTCAGGAATTCCTCCTGGGAAAGAGAAGTAAAGAGTGAAAACAAATACAAGAGGGAATACGTCTTTTTAGGTCACCGTTTATGCAATTGTGACATACAGGGAGTATCAGGCATTCAGTTTTGCAATTCTACATTGAGTAATGCATGTCACAGATAAAGAACTGTGCCATGTAATAAGCTCAGAGTGATATCAGAGTCTGTTCTAGTTGCTCATTCTTCACAGAGAGCAATGGGTATCACCAAATGTCACCACGAAAGCCAAAATTCATATTTACGCATCACATAATATAGCACAAAGTTACTTTGTGCAATGCCATTCAGTGTTGGAAGGTAACAAAGCAATACTGTGCCATTAGTACTGTAGCAGAGACGGCATTCTTGCCTGGATATAGGGAACCCAGAAGAGACCAATGTTGAAGACACTGTATGCAATGAAACCAGTCAAATTGAGGGCCAGGAAGTCAAAATTGAGCCCCACCACACTGTTGGGAGAACGAAGAAGAAATGAAAACGTCTTTAAGGATTGGGCTGCAATGTTATCTGAATGAAAGCACACCAAACAGCACAAAACAAGAGAGGAAACAATGTACATTTTCAGAGATGAGGCAGGGCCCACTAAGGTTTGTGTTACTGTTAAGGTTAAGATCCTGGTGTGCTCTGAAGCTGTTAATCAAATCTGATCAACTAATTAAAATCTGGCCTCCTCTTGTTTGTAACCTTATAGGCTCGCAGCCTGAGCAGGCATATGCCTTTAGATACAAAGGAACAAATAAAGGTTTATTCCACGCTGAAAAGAGAAGAAAAGAAACAAAGTTTTGGCTGTGGAGCCTTTATCAGGTGTGTGCCTTTACATACTTCTGTCTTGTTCGGTCCCTGAGAATGTCTAAAATATTTTATGAAGACTGAGTATTGCCTAAATCTACTCGTAGCTGGGAGCTGCTGTTTGAATGACCTGTGTTATACTTAAGGTACTGTACATGTAACAAAACTGGTGTAAATCATAAACTACAACACACACTTACACACCAGAAGACAAATACGAGAAGGATCCAAGTGAAAAGAAACTGTACCTTTTCCTTCTCCAGTTCTCGTACGCTTGGGGGTAAAATGAAATAGACCAGGCCAGGAAGTAGATCCAGCCAATCACCTGGTTGACGATTTCGAGGATCTGGCTTCGTATAACGCTGAACCGGATCCTGGTGTGAGTGCTGGAAAAGCAGAAGGAGGAGTTCTTACAAAATAAAGAGCACAGAGGCCAACAGAGCACTAGGCCTACCACCCAATGCTTATTTACAATTCAAAACCTTAGAGGGCCTGAAAGATGTTCTTTACACTACGTTTGACATCTGTCTTCCTTTTCTCCAATGCGCACTTTTACAGTGACCACCTCACTCTGTGCATGCTCTGCACAATATGTTTTCCTGTGACACTGTGAATATTCAAATGTCCTGTTTCATCACGGGGATTTCAAAACCCTAATGACACTTTCAGTGTTGTTGCCTGAAGCAGGTATTGAACCCTAGGAACCAATCTTCTTCAGCGTTCACACCAAGAGAGAAGTGGCTTGCAAAGGCTGGATACAATAGCGCAAAGCCCTGCCTCTCACCTTGTAACATTGGTGTTGTTGCTGAGCAGGTGTACGGTCACTTGGCCGACTTCCCTTGCCTGGACTTCAAAGCTTGTAGTCATGGCTTCGGTAAGCAACACCACCTGGAAATGGGAACTCGCTGCTGTGAAACCTTACAGTACATTCACAGTCGCATTACAATGGTACAGCAAGTGAACTTCAGGCGATCCCCCTGATAATAGAGCATAATTTGAAATTGATCATACTACGGCTGCATTTAATGTTCTAAACCAAAGAGCACATTCACATATCGCAGGAAAGACAAAAAAAGCAGCAGCCTGTAAACTGAACACAGAAAATAAAGCCGAGTTTCCTTTAAAACAGGCCAGAAGCAACTTAGTCTAAACCGATATCCATCAGTGAAAGTGGGTTGATCATAAACCAGATTATCTACATCAGTAATTATCTCATGTGTTCTCTGTAGCAATCCCCATTAATAGAAAACAGATGTCCGGACATCTGGGAGGTTTTAGGGATTGGGACAAACAAAATGACTTAACTAATAATCATTCTTTGTACTTGGCAACCCTTTTAAAAAACACAAGAGGTCTACAATGTGATATTCCAAAAAAGTTAAACAATTGCAATTGGAAAACCTATTTCTAAAATTGGAAAAGGCACTTTAAAGTTATCAGGCTCCAGATAACCAGCTTATTGAGCTGCAGCTTTGCTAGTCTAGGCCTGCTGCTTACCTGCTCTGGAAGCTGAACAATGGTGGTATTTTTTGAGGTGTAGGTTACATTTAAGACGATGACAGTTGTCACGTTTACAGGAGCACTGCAAGTGAAAAGGAGTAACAAAATGATGGGCAAAAACATACAATGGTTTAACTTCAACAAGAACAAAAAACCTGATGATGAACTCCTGCAACATGAACTTTCCTAAGTTCATGGGACTTAGTGAGTGTACAGCAGTTGTCCCAGTATTGTGTGACTCTTTATAAATGTACTGACAGAAAACAGTCAGTAGTTCTAAGTCCAACCATTACCTACTGTATGCAAACTCGCTCAAAATAAAAGGTAAAAACATTAAACAGGCCTGCCAGAATATTCAAAAGAACCACACTATAAAAAACATGAAATGGCTCAAATTGCTGTGCAATAGGAGTCCTGTTGACATTCTGTCATTTTGCTTTGGGCTATAATGACTCAGTACCACTTCAGCACTTCAGACAAACCCAGTTCATTACCGCCATACCTAGTCTCGATGGTCACATTCTTTGAACTTCTGTTCTCTAGACTCACAGTGGGAGGAGCAGAGAGGATCACACTGGCATCTAGACACAGAAAACAAACTAATACAACAAATTCATTCAAGCAGGGAGTTCAGCACAGGCAATCTTTTCTCTGAAGGTACGAAGAGCAGCCCATGAGGATCAGTCAAGTTGCAAACTAATGTTGAAAAGGGCGAACAGAAAACCGCTGAGTAAGCACTATGGGAAGTCAGATTACGAGCAGTGCATTAGGTGTCCATGTTGGAGAACTCACAATCTTATCTGCTCTGTTTGCTCAGTCATTCGCGGTTTCGTGGGTTCTTATAAGCGAGTACAAATACTGCAGACCAAAGACACTTAAGACATCAGCATGACCTGGGACAATACGGCCTCTGCTGAAGCCCATCCCGATGCAGTCAGCCAGAACAAATACCAAGAAATAATGCTGATTAAGCACTGCATCTTTTGAATCACAGGTCTTTATAGTCCGCCTATAAAGGTACGCCAGATCTCCAAGCAGCACTCAGACTCGGTGGGGATCCATTGGCAGGTGTCTGGTGTGCTTCCACTTCAACACAAGCACAAAGTCTATTAGGCCTGATTAACAAAGCACATGGGCTTAAGGAATGAGAAGCAGCATGTACTACTGCTTTGTCTGAATGATGACTTCTAGCCTACACAGGTTTCACAGCGCTGACAGTCTCCTCTTTCTAGAGCTGAAATTGGCAGCAGATAGCCATTATGTAATAAAGGGAACAAAAAGTACTAATGAGACCAGCATTCTGAACCAGCTGCCAAATGCAAAAACGTCTCGTGTTCCTTTGATCACTGTAGCTTCTCCATGAGTACAGTAAACAAAATTCTCGGCAGGTGTGGCGTCAGGCATGGAAACAAAACCCTGCAATGCAAACTCACCACCTGGCTCCAGTCGGGGCAGGAGAAGAGCCAAGACCAAAACCAAGAGAGGCTGGGGGCCCTTCATCTTCCTTGCACAGGCCTGCCCACTGCACCTTGGAGACAGACAGAGAGGGGCCGAGTCAGGAACACAGACCAGCGCTGCCACACGAATGCCAGGGGACATTCCCAAAGAGCGACACCGTCGCGAGACTCGGCTCGGAACACTTCACTCTCCAAGACTCCAGGTGAATTAGGCAGAAAGGTATCAAGACATGCTCAGGCACTGCAGGCCCCCTGTTGGAATCTCACACCTGGAGAGCTGACAGCAATCACACAGACCCAGTGTCTGGGCTGGGATCTGGCATGGAAGACAGCTCAAGTTGCAGAACTAATTAGTCTAATTTTGCTAACTGATCAATAGTATCATTTATCAAGGTCTGGAGCATAAAATGTTAAAATTCTCCTTAGTGTTTTAGCCTGTATAAATGCCTCCAGAGTGTCTCACAAACACTGTCGGGATTGTGGACTCAAATTCTGGGTATTCCAGTGACGTCCCACTGAACTTTAAAGACACATCTTACTGTCAGTTTGGCAGACTGTATGCTTAGCTTTTAACTCTTCCTTGTGACATCTGCAATTTCGTTAGTTTCTTTGATGGCAAGTCCTGTACCTTGTAAAGAGTGAATGGCGTTATTAGTCTTCACGGACAACTTTGCTAACTTCAAGCACGTTTTCAAAAACTTTAGCTCGAGTTCCGCTAACACACACATTGAGTTCCGGACATCGATAGAATTTAAACAACATATTGCGCTATAGCTACAGTGCCCCTTAAAAACAATACGACAGAAAGTTTAAATAGTAGCCATTTACAGTACGTCCGCGTCATTCATGTCTCGTTTTTGTGAACTTGAGTCCACAAACTCATCATGAGCATCGTCATGAAATATTATTCAGCGAAGGCAAGCATGATCAAAACGCATTACAAAATCAGAATAACAGGGATTTTTTTTTTGTAGGACTGATACAAGAAGTAAGGCTTGCGTTTTAGGTTAGCGATTCACAAACCTCACAAGCTTTCAGTCGCTCTGTTCCCAGATATGACCCTGTTTCTGTTTGTGAGAAAACCAAATACAGCTACCAAACAGGACACAAAATCGTCCTCGCATACACGTGTATAAATGAATATGGCATCATGACAGTTTAAAAGAAAAGTTTCTTACCCCAGCTCTTCTCCAGCTACCAAAAACTCCCCTTCCTCTCCTCTGCTGCCAGCTTGGCTGAGATCACATGACACAGCTCAGCTGACCCACTAGCGTGAGTAGTCAATGCCCGATTTCTGACCAATGGCGCAGGGCGCCTACGGTTTCATCCCGCCCACCTACGTTATTGAATGCAGAACAGTCCAATCGTGTTCGAGTTACGGAATTGGGGAAGTAAGGCACAATAAATTCACACGTGGTTGTTCGGTGTATTTGTGTATTGGAAACTGGTTAGACCGTAATGAGCCTGTGTAATTATATATTTCCTTGTTTTTAATGTCAACATTATTGTTAAATTCAGGGCGAGTGTATGCACTGAAGTGAGACGATTTCATATTTTTTACGGCTAAAGAGCGCTTTAGCTCAAACCATAATACAGTGATTCAGCTCCACGCATTTACTTTGAAAAGCAATTCGTCTAACGTAGCGACAAGATTATTCGGCGTTTACCTTCTCAGGTGTCCCCAGCACGCTTTACTGGATTGTAATAACAGGGTTTGAAAACGCGTGCCTTCAACAATATCGATTACATCACGTTAATCTGAGCAGCAGGCCACAGACATTAAAGAAAACTAATGTAAAAGGGACGTTAAACGTATTTCTTTGGTTGAAAAACGTTTCAGGAATCGATTTAAAGCGAGAATTGGATGAAAGTAAGACAGAGCTCAATGACGATCGGGGCTGATTGGGAGGTAGGTTGGCCCCTGGAGAATGGGGGGGCGAGGATTTATCAACCATCCGACACCGGAGGTGGAGGTGATGTGGTCAGCTGTCCTATTACCCCCGGAAAGATTAACCCACAGCACTTATTTGGAAAGCAGGCTGAGTTGACCCTGGAGCCGTCTACATCGCTTGCTCCTACCTGGGATTGAACCTGGGACCTTCCGGTGAGGACCTAGACGCCCTTTGCCATCTTATCTTGTGTATTCTTCTAATTTATTGTTGTTGTCATCCTGTAAAGCGCTTTGAGAAGCCACCTTAAAGGCGCTATATAAAATAGAGTTGATGATTATTATTATCTGAGCTACCAGGGCTCCGGGCAAACGGTCTGATTCCCCCTCTGAATTTAAGGACAATGAAAAAGCGATACAATCCCCAGTAGATGGTGCGCTTGCACGATTTAAAACCCTACAGCGACCTCACCCCAGGTGCTGCAGATGAGATGCAGCTCAAAGGAGCTACCGAAAGCAGTGTATGGGGTAAATATACTACGTGTAGTTCATTAACGTTTTCTTTCGTAGATACAAAAAGGACTCTTGCTGTAAAAGCCATTAATACAGTTCTGAAATATCTCATTCTGATATAATCTTTGAGTTACATTGCATACCTTAATCCTTTTGGGGTGTTACGATGGGCTGTGATGTTTACTGAAAGTCTGGTCAGGCGAACGTTTCTAATTTGACCGACAGAGTGGCTCAGAAAAAAAACGACACCACCTTTGCTGAATGTCAACAAATGCTCTTTATTGAATACAATTCAACACAGTTCAGGGGGTTTCTACTGCAAGCTCGGAGAAAATAGGGAAGTACCGTCGTGCCTCCCAGCAGTGTGAGGGAGGCGTTTCAGTTCAATTTCAACTTCAACAAGATCGAACACTAGCATTAAATCGGAATTAACTTTTGTACTTGAAGTGTTGGTACTTCTTTAATTGCTTACAACTTTCTTACTGTTCCAAGGACCACGAAGAACAAGGGTCTCTCGCATGTTCAAGAGAACACATGCACAAACTAAATAAAGCCTAGTCGAAATTTGTACTTCTAGCGCCACAGCAATTTAGGAAAAGCATACGATAGACCCAGCCAGCAGCTGTACTCTAGCAGACCCGGCTTCACTGGGCGCAGTCAGACTTCTTTATCTGCTGGGTGGCGGTGCTGGAGGCTCCCTGCGAGACCGTGCAGGAGAACAGGCGATCGCTGCTCCACTCGGCGGGGGTCACGCTCAGCAGGCTGCTCAGGCTGAAGGTGCCGTCAGTCTGCGGGGAGGCGGGGCTGGTCAGGATCCCGCCGCTCACCGGGCTCCCATTGGCTGCCCAGCTGACGTCAGCGAGCCCCACGGACAGCTTATTGGCCAGACACACCAACGTGGCCTTCCCTTTGTCCAGCTCTTCCGCGGAGGAACGCAGGAGCGTCACCGAGGGCGCTGGCAGATTCGTAGCTAAAATAAGGAGGAAGATAAACGAGAAAAAATGTAAGGGAGACGGTCTGGTCCTGGGTGGAAAGGATGTAGAGTACTCATAGAGGAAGCACATTGGTTCTGAAGAGTTGTTTTGGTGAAGTTTGCTTCTCTGGAGGCCACTTTTATATCAGAATCAGACTGGTGCACGTTGGCTCTCGGAGAGCTGTACCCTGTCAAACCATCATGACGTCATATGCACAAATAATCAATATTGTGGACAAGTGGGGGCCGGTGTTGAGAGTCTTAAGTAAAACAAAAGGCTTAATAACTGGATGAGCTTGGCCCCATCCAGCGTCTTCTGTAGCCCACGTCTTCAAAGGAAGACTGTTGAGATACGGCTGTCTGCACAGCGAATGGCCGCTGTGCGCCCACCTGTGCCCTGCTTCCTCTGTGCTTCCTGCACACACTGCAGAAATAGAACCGAAAACGAGAACCAAAAAACACAAGAGCCGTTTTTAACCTAACATGCAAATTTCTCAGTTTCTCATTTCGGTTTTTACTCTACCCATGCGTGTGGAATTGAATCTACGCCAGGCTTTCGCTTAAGTATTAGTACAAATATAATTAAGAATACATCTCGAAATACTGTACTTTCCTTTACAATTTCCAGCACGGTTTTACCTGTCGGGCAGACTAATACAACTAGGAAAAAGCTACGCTTTTATGAAAAATAATGGTTATTTAAAAATTAGTATTTTACAACTTATTATATTTAATATTAAAGTGCTTTACCATTTTGGTTGTTATATATATATATTCATTGGTATGTAACTCTACGTATTTGTGAAAAGCTACCCTGAATGGTTCAATATTGCATTGAGATAGCATCATTCCGCCGTTACATGGTGCAATTTAATCACCACGATCTGGATACTTTTAATAACTATAATACATTAACTTTATGTAGCATTTACTAAAATGACAGTAGGTCAAAGTAGCTAAAATATAGTTTGTAATTATGTAAAATCCAAACCTGTAACAAGGAATACAAATAAAGCTTTGTAAGACGTCCTATTATCTTTCTGTAATGGATGTCTTTATATCTGAACTTTACTGATTTTTTATATAAGAAATTCTTATATATTAAGAGATTTACCTTTCAGCATGGAATGAACCCTTACCTTTTCCTTTGCATATTTAGCACATTATGAGCATATTATGCTCACCTTATTTAAAACATTATAATTCTTATTACAGTTTAAACGATTACAGTACTAATTGTACAATTATATTTAAAATAGCATACCACATTAATATGATAGAACACTGTTACAGTTATACTGTATAACTATAATAATTAAGATAAAACAATTATTTAATTGTTTTACTGATATGAAAGCTTTTTTACTTAAGAACTTCTTTACTGTGAAGTTATATTAAAAGAGAATTTTATTTAAAATTGACTCATCAGGGAAACCAAACATTTTTAAAAGTAGTGTCACGAAAGACTAACTGGAATGGTAAAATCGGACATTTTTGAATAGGTCACATTTAAACAAAAGTTATATTTATTTTTTATTTAGTTCACTATGTACAGTGATTTGTATCTGTTAAAATGTTATTTACTCTGATTAAAAAACATCTGTTCATAAGTATAAATCTGCTTAAACATACAGTAACAATCACATTCTTTCTTTTAAGCAGAAATGTTAATATTTTGTCTTCTTTGAAATGATCAGCATATTTTTCAAAGGGCAAAAACATACAAAAAGTTGAAGTATTTAGATAGAAAATACACAATTTTTAAAAACATTTTAGAATTCTCAGAGCTGAACTCTGTTAATTGGGTTATAAGAGATATATTCAGTTTTGCATCAGTTATTTCTAACATTTCAAACATGAGCTGTTCAGTTCAGATTCTTTACCAGTACATGACAATTGATTACCAGAATAACGTTTTTGCTCCTTATTTTACTTACCTTACAAGGAAATAAAATAAATATCACACCTAGAATTTAATAATGCAAACCCTTCGAAATCAGAAGAAAACATTAGAAGGAAAAGGAACAGGATTCATGTGTTTTTTTTTCCACACCTTTGAGAAATAAGTTTTGATTTTCCACAGCCTGTTTTATACTTTAATAAGACAGGAGATAACAAGCAAATTAGTAAAATATTAGAGAGTCATTTAACAAGAAAAAGATCATATGTATCATTAAAAATGTGAAAAGAAGAGCTACTTACCGGTCACAATGAGTTTGGTGCCTTGGCCGAATACCACTGTGATACAGACCAGATACAGCATCGTACAAAAACTGCCACTTCACTTCCCCAGGCAAAATACACCCCAAATAAAACACGTTTTGTCTTCATATAATCCAATTTGAGGTCATGTTGAAAACAGGATGTTCTTTTTTTCAAAATTAAATCAGAAATACCAATTAAAAGCCCCAAATGGGGTGTATTAAGAGGAATCTCCAGGGAAAATACTCCGTATGCCATCTCTCAACAGATTAACTAACCCCTTGGGCTGTGTGGGCCTTTGATTTTGGACAACCGGGAGACAGGAAGTCAACTCCTCATTTCAGCAAGTGTCGTATTGAGCCCAAATCTATTTCCCGTCCGGATTCCACCCAATATTTTGTAATCCTCTCTGTCCTGGCCTCAGAGACTCCCAGTCCACTCTCCACTCTCCACTCTCGGAGAAGATCCTGGTAACTCTACACCTCTGGTGGGGAAAAAAGAAGAAACTTGATGTCAGCAAATGACTGTGATTCAAAATCCTTACTTTCAAATCGAGGGTGGTGTTCCTCGCACTCACAACCGAGCCTGGCTGAAAACCTTTCCAGGGTGACTGAAAACACAACCATGCTCAAAACTAGAAGCGCACTTCATGGCAGGCGGAAATATCCTATAGACCTCTGTGACTCAGAAGCTCAGAAAAAAGGGCAGGAACGAAACAGAATAGATACTGGATCCTTTGTAAACTATATGTATTATGAGGACAAGCAGTGTTCACAAGTATATTCCTTGATTTTAAATGTTAATTATGGCTGTTAGTACTGTATGTCTATGTACTTCTGCATTGTTGCATGAAAATATGAAAATTATTTTTTTCCCTGTCTTGTGCTTTACTGCTTAGGTTAATTGCACTGTTCATGTGAAAAGACTATTGATTTGAAAAGTGAAACCATGTAACTACAGTAGAATGGCCACAGTGAAAGCAGTGTGGATCAGCAGTGCTGTTATTGACATGGCTTCTTTCACTGTGATACATGAGCCTTGGCAGAGCTGTCCCATGCGTTACAGTAATACACTGC